TTTTTTCCCCAAATTAAAAATGGGAAACAATTGTTTTTATCCCTAAAAAAGTTGGTTGATATCAGTGCCAAATATGAAAAATGATAAGATAAAATCCTTAGAAAGACAGATTAATGGAACTAAGAAAAAAGTTCACACACAGACAGAAAGACATACTAATAAAGCTAAGAAAAATATTCACACACACAGGTATTTAGAGCAGAAACTACCACACCATTCTGTTATGAAACTGAAGAAGGATGGCCCAAGGTTATTAGAAAACCAACCTTATGTTATGGAGAAGTTGGATGTAATCCTATAGAAAGAATTAGATTTGAGGTGATTTAGGGAAGATATTGTTTCATATGGTATGCATTCACTCTATGTGAAGTGGATATTAAACTCATGGGCAACTCAGAACAGAATTATCCCCCAAGACTGGAAAGATTTGGCATCAGTAACATTGGAAGCTGGCCCTCAGTTACAATGGCATGTATGGTGGAAAGAGGAAGCTGGGACCATAGAAGAACAAAATAGGGCTAGAGGTTATGTGATTTCCCAAGACCAAATCCTCAAGTGAGGGCTGTTATGCTGATGTGGAAAGACAGATTACATTTGATGATCACACCTTGGCTCTATGCTGTACAGCAGCTTGAATGCTTGGGACAAAGTTAAAGAATCAGAAAAGAGGACTGAGCCATTTACTAAAATTATACAAGGCCCAAAAGAAGCCTTCACTGAATTTTTATAAAGATTGACTTAAGCTGTAAATAGAATGATATCAGATCCAGAAGTTAGATGAATATTAATTGAATCTTTGGCTTTTGAAAATGCTAATTCAGAATGTAAAAGGGTAATCAGGCCTTTAAAAGCAAGATTAGCACCCATAGATGAATGGATTAGAAATACAGCTGATATTGGATCTCATGCTTATGATGATACTTGGATAGGAGAAGTGACTTCTAAAATTTTTAAGAAAAACCAAAAGGTTAGATGTTTTAATTGTAGTAAACCAGGTCATCTGAAAAGGGATTGTAGACAAGGCATTCCTAGAAATGTTTTTTTTCTAGAAATAATTAAAAAAGAAAGCCCCACATACAGAAGATGTGGTAAAGGCTGACACTGGACTAATGAACACAGATGAACAAGGAAAAATAAAACAGTTTTTGCATATTACAACGTAAAGCATATTACACATATACCATACACTCCTACAGAGCAAGCATTTATAGAAAGATCTAATTGCACTTTAAAAAATATGCTTAATAAACAGAAAGGGGTAATAAAAACCCCCAGAGATATATTGCATGATGCATTATTGACTTTAAATTTTTAAATGCTAGAGAGAAAGGAACAACATTGGATAAAAAATAAAACAACAAAAACCTGATGAATTAAATTAGGCTGTATACTTTAAAGATGTGTTGACCTCAGAAATGGAAACCAGGATATGTGTTATGTTGGGGAAAAGGTTTTGCTTTTGTTTCCACAGGAGAAGAAAATCTATGGATACCAAAATTGATAAAGATTAGATTCAAACAAGAGAGACCTCTTGATTAGAAGAGGTGATCGTTCATCAAACAGCATGACCATTCAATCTAAACTAACATAGAAGACTAGCAAACGCTTTTCCTTTGATTAGATATAACCTGCCAAAAAGGAAACTCCCCAAAGTTAGGGTTGGGGCAGGGCTTTGTTTTGTCTTTCTGCGAGAATGAAGGCAACCAGCTAAGGAATCTGAAGACCACTGGACAAATGAGACATCTGAAGAAAAAGGACAAATCATCCAGAGAAAATGACCCAAGAAAACAAGTAAATTGACCTACTGATATATCACATTTCCAACAGGATAAAATTTCATAAATCTTCTCAATTGTTTGTTTCTGCTGTTCTCTACAGACATATAAGGTAAATGGTCTTTTTGTAATCCCAATTAAATTAAAAATTAAAACTAGCTTTGGAGTTGTAGTGTGGCTCTCTCCTTCTCTAAACTTAAGCATGCTTGTTAAAGGAAAATCCAAAATCTCTGTCTCATGTCAGAAGAGCCACCTGATATGGGACAGAAGAAAAATCAAAATTAAGGGACTATTCTATTACCACTAAAATAATAATTTGTTGGTTTTATTTTGGCTCTTGAAAACTTTTCTTAAGGTATAAATATTATTTCAAAATTTATAAAATTAATGTATATTTATTTTAAACTTTCTGTCATGACAATGCCAATTAGAGTATTAACTAATTCTAGAAGAAGGCTTAGTCTATCTTCCTGTACATGATTTTGGGTTTGAGTCTCTATCAGGTAACTAGTAATTAAGTTTTTGTACTCTGGATGTACATAACAAATAATGGTCCTTTAACCTTTCTGAGATCTGCTGTATATGACATTTAAAATGTTCAAGTTTTCTGCAGTGAACCATGACCATGCCTAACAGCAACCTTTGATATGGAGGATGGTGCCCCACAATGATGATTCCACCTGGATTGTGGTAATGCCACTAAGCTGACAAATGCCACCCAAAGATCAGCTTTGAACTACAAACTGCCCAGGACAATTCAAGGTGCCTAGCTGAGATGGTCCAGCCTCATA